ATATATATATATATATATATATATATATATATATATATATATATCCTCTGTGTGTGTGTGTGTGTGTGTGTGTGTGTGTGTGTGTGTGTGTGTGTGTGTATTTCCTGTTTAACTGAAAGAAATGGTCCCATGTTTGTGGATGCACCACCTGTGCCAACCAAGGTCAGGGTTTAGGGAGGTAGGTAGCTCGAACAGCTCTGCCTAGATGTGCCAGATTAGAGTCAGTGGGCTGTACTCTATTTGAGAAAGGGAGGTGACCCAAAGGCACCCCACTCTTGGATAAGTGCTTCTTGAAAAATCAAAGTTTTCTTATGAACAAATATGGCTGGCAGCCCTAGCTGAAAGGGAACGCTAGCTGCTGTGAGTTGCTTAGTTCCGGTCCCATGTCGGGTACTCATTGCCTCAGGTGTGGCACGGATGCCATTGCTCATGCCCGCCGGAGCCTGGCAGCTGAGTGTACTCCCCAGTTTCCTAAGAGAAGAAACTGAGGTAGAGCTAGGCTCAGTGCTTAAATGGGTGACAGGTGGTAGTCACTCCTGATCCCATGAGTCTCCTAACGGCTGGACACGTGCACACCACCTTGCTTGATGTGAGCGTTGAGTGTCTGCGTGTACAGATAAATGCCAAGTGAGAGCAGGTGCCTGCTGATGCCAAAAGAGGGCAGGGGATTCCCGGGATCCCAAACGGGTGTTAGGAACAGAATTCAGGTCCTCTGGAAGACAGCAAGTGGACTTAACCCCTCCCCGAGCCATCTCTCCAACCCCATGACTTAAATTTTTTGATTTATAAACTACGTGAATATATGACCTCATTGAAAAAAAAAGTAACTACTCTAGTCTTCCTCTTGAATCATTTCCTTTTCGCTAGTCTCTCTTGGACAGGAAGTGACAGAAGACAGACCATGCGTCTCAGCCTTTCCTTTGGAGGGGCGGATGCTGTGCTGGAACAGCTGAGGGCCCCAGGTCTCCTCCACTGGACAAACACCTCAGGAGTTCTACAGGGTCAATGCGGAGACCAGGAAAGAGGAATTTAAATTAAAAGAGATATAAATCTTAAAAACTAGACGAAGAATTTTCAAAAATTTAGTTTTAAGTTTCTAGATAAGGCAGATTAAACCTGGGCCATCTTCCTGTGGCTTAGGGAGGCTAACAGGCCCCTCTTATCCGCAGGCCCGTATCAAGCGAATAGTGATGGTAGCTTACACTAGCAAACATGCAAAGGCTACCCTGCCTGGGTCCTTCCCTCCAGCAGCAGGCTGGTTTGTTAAGTTTACTGGCATGCTGTGGGACAGATGTCATTAAAGACAAAACGAAGTTCAATTTTGTGACCAGAAAAACCAGTTAGTTTTGATAGCTTTAGGTTATAAATATTGTGTGTGACTGTGTTTGTGTGTTGCCTAAAGAGGCCAAAAGATGGCATCCAATTCCCTTGGGTCTGGAGTGACAGGGGGTTGTGGGTTACCCACTGTGGGTGCTGGGAACTGACCCAGGTCCTCTGAAGATTAGCAAGCGCTCTTGGCCACGGAGCATCCCTCCAATCCCTGGGGACAACTACTGCATCTTTCCCTGTGAAGCTCCTTGCGAGGCTCCACTGTCAGGTCAAAACACAACGTGAAAGACACGTTTCCCCTATAGGGCTGGGGATATGAACTGAAGCAGTGGGGGCTATCATAAAGACAAGGCGCGCAACGTCACACCGAGTAGGGGTGTTTCTCAAACATTAGCACTTACTGGCTTGTTTTTCATGGAGACACAGCGGAGAAGGAGCAATCTTTTGTGGTCTATGAGAGTATGGGAAATGTCTACAACAAATTCACATTGCCTGGCCCTTGCACAGCTGTCAATCACTGAGGGAGTTCTAGACAAGTTACCTGATGAGCATCACGAGGACCGATTTGCAAAGATCCAATGAAAACTACTTTCCACTCACCCAGTTCTATACAGGTGATGCCGAGCGACCAGATGTCAACTTTCCCATCGTACTTTCCTTCATCCATGGCCAAGATCACCTCTGGGGCCATCCTGCCAAACACAATGTGCAGAACTCAAGTTGTCAGAAGAAACAAAATTTCCATTTTAAAACTACTTGATACATTAGATTTAAGGATATTCAAAAGTATTTTTAAGGGTATTTAAAAGTACCCCCCCCATGGGAACCAAACCTTGGTCCTCTCTAAGAACAAGTGCCTTTGGCAGCTGACCCATTTTTCCAGTCCCTGTTTCAAGGTTCAGTGTTTGTTGTGGTGTTATTCGTAGGAGTCATGGAATGAAACCAGCCTGGACAATCGACAGATGCATAAGTAAGGAAAACGTGGTTCAGGTACATAATGGAGGCATCTGGGATGTGCTGGTTTGAATGAAAATGGTCCTTGTAGGCTCCTATACTTGAATACATGGTCCCTAGCAGATGAAACTATTTGGGAAGGATTAGAAGGTGTGGTCTTGTTAGAGGAGGAGTGTCAATGGGGGTGGGCTTTGAGGTTTCAAAGGACTCTGCCCTTCCTAGTCTCTCTCTCTCTCTCTCTCTCTCTCTCTGCCTCGTGGTTATGCCTTAAGATGTAAGCTCTCAAATGTTCCTGCTGCCATGTGTTGCCTGCCTCCTGCCATGCTCCTTACCCTGACAGTCACAGGCTCTAACTCTCTGAAATTAAAGCCTCAAATTAAACATATTTTTTAATAAGTCACCTTGGTCATGGTATTTTATCACAGCAATAGAAAAGCAATTAAGACGTGGGACAGAACTGGGGATCACATTAAGGGAGATGAGCCAGACATAGAGAGATGAATACAGGAGAGAAGGAGGGAGGGAAGGAAAGCAGAAAGGGAACTGTGGGGGGAGGGAGCCAGTGGGTCGGCAGGATGGGGGACATAGAGACAAAGTACAGTATGACACAACTTGTTATCTTGTGTTCTTTCCTTCCTTCCTTCCTTCCTTCCTTCCTTCCTTCCTTCCTTCCTTCCTCCCTCCCTCCCTCCCTCCCTCCCTTCCTTCCTTCCTCCCTCCCTTCTCTTCTCCTTTTTTTTTTTTTTTTTTAGCTTTGGAACCTGTCCCGGAACTTGCTCTGTGGACCAGGCTGCCCTTGAACTCACAGAGATCCGCCTGCCTCTGCCTCCTGAACGCTGGGATTAAAGGTGTGCGCCACCACCGCCCAGCTTAACCTATTATTTAGTATAGCAGCTATAAAATTAATTTAAGAAGTTGAAGACTTTTTTTTCTGACAAATTTTCCTTACACAAACCACTCGGACAGACATCACCGGTGACTTCTAGGGACTGCTACACGATTTTCAACACAACGTGGCTCTGCCTTTTGCTCTCAGTTTGCTCTTGAGTCTGTTAGTAACTATGACCTATCTGCTTCTTCATCTAAACAATGGAGAGACCTGTCACAGGGACCTCATGGAGATCTATCTGTAAAAAGTTAGTCTGGCCAGGGGGTGGTGGCCCCTTCAATCCTAGCACTCGGGAGGCAGAGGCAGGCGGATCTCAGTGAGTTCAAGGCCAGCCTGGGCTGCAGAGTGAGTTCTAGGGCAAGCTCCAAAGCTACAGAGAAACCCTGTCTCAAAAAACAAAAACAAAAGCAAAAAAAAAAGGGGGTTAGTCTGTTGTGAACAGAAAATGAATCACTCTAGGAGACATGAGAAATATCTGGAGGACGGCATTAAGGAACGTGGTCCACCGCTCCAGAGACACTGTAACTGACAGGACAAAGCAGGTCCTGTAAAGGCGGGCAGCGTGCGTGCGCCCTAGAGGGGAGGGGCCCCTCTGCCTTCAGTTTGTCTTGGATGGTGCTATGGCCTATTCCATGTCAGCAGTGGCTTTGTAAACACTATCTTACGATGAGGGAAGTCAGACAGTAGCTACTCTTAGCAGGTTTTCCTGAGGGTGTCTTTCCAAAGCTACAATAACACAGCGGTGCATCTGTGAGCGTTTGGAAAGGTGATCTGGAACAGAATGTGGGGACAGCTCCGAGTCAGAATGACATCAAAGTGGATGAAGTGTCAGAGCCTCAGCAGAGTTAAGAGCTTGGATTTCTTCCACCCTGGCTCGGTAGGCAGCCAGGAGGCTGTAAAGAAGATCCCTTGTCCCGAGCACACTGCCTCAAGGGAGCAGTTCAAAAGAGATCTCAAGTGAAACCTTAGACGGAGCTAGCCCAGCAAATCGATAACACACAAAGGAGACCCAGCTGCCTCATTTGGGCAATTTAAGGTCACTCTTTTTGGCGGTTTCTAACCTTCTCAAATGAAATCTGACTGGGCACATTAGGAACACAGTTTTTTTTCCCTCCCTCCCTCCCTCCCTTCCTTCCTTCCTTCCTTCCTTCCTTCCTTCCTTCCTTCCTTCCTTCCTCCCTCCCTCCCTCCCTCCTTCCTTCCCTTCTAAATATAGTCTCTCTCTTTATAACCCTGGCTGTTCTGGAACTCACTGAGTAGACCAGACGGGTTAAACTCGAAGAGACCCACCTACCTTTGCCTCCTGAGTGCAGGGATTAAAGGTGTGTACCACTATTCCTGGCTGGTAACACACTGTTTTGACAAAATAAGGCTAGGCCTGGTAGTGCAGGATTGTGTGCTTAGTTCCATGGCAGCCTGAGGCAGTAGCATTGCATATTCAAGATCAGCTTGGGATCTGAACAAATTCGTGAGACTGTTTCCAGACAAAGGGCTGAACACTGCCCAGCATTCTCTAGGACCTGGGTTCGATCCCTACCACTGCAGAAACAACACAGGGATGCCAAGTGTCCCTCCTGCTCACACTTGTGCATTCTAAGCCTACATCATATCTTCTGTGTCTACGTACCAGTATGGCGTCCCCACGAAGGAATTGGCAGGAGAACGCGTGGAGGCGGATCCAAAGTCAGCCAGTTTCACCTGCCCTGGTTCTGTGAGGAGGATATTTCCAGCTTTAACGTCCCTACAGGAGAAAAAGGGGAGCATTCGAGAGTTAACCTCTCAATTCTTACTGTGCAGGAGGCTAGAGCATGCAATTAGCACGATAAAAAGTTTCTTAAACAAACACACAGCATACTTTTCTCGGCTGTCACTGCATGTTGTAAGGGAGCCCGCATTCCTGGGTGGTCACTGGAAGGGCTTCCAGGAAGAGCTGTCTTCAGAGGGAGGGGCAGAGCCAGGGGGAAAGGGAGCCATGCCAGGCAAGGAGCGCGCCCAGATGGCGACCCTTACAAAGCGTGTTCTTCAGCGTTTTAGCCAACCACCACCACCACTCCTCGTGCTGGGCAAACTGGCGCCGTTTGTAACTGCCTGTTTTCCCCTTCCAAATCTGCCTGCCATGCCTGCATCGCCGCCCGGCGCAGGGCTCCTCAGCTGGACACATACCTGTTCTGTCTTGCCCGTGACCCTTTCTCTCTGTCTGTAAGTGTAACTGCCACTCTAAGGCATGAGAGGTACAGGTTATAGAAAAGGTGTTATTTAAGAAATAACACTGTACAGTAAAAAGAAGACCCTGAAAGATCAAAACAGACAAGGATTAGGGGTTAGGAACTTGCATTTCGATATTGCGATGGCGGGTTGTGGCTGGTTTGTACTAAGAATGCTTGGTATTTGAGGCGTGGTGAAACGTTAGGGGAGAAGACACCATCTGAGATTAGAATGAGAGGGTGATGTGGATCCCTGCTTTCTCAGAAGGTATGAATGACGTTCAATGAGGACTGGGAACCATGAACAGCAAACTGAAAATGGGCCGATGAAAGAAACCACTTGGAAAACGGAGAGAAAGCGACAGGCTTGGATGCTTCCAAGGTTTCCCTGCTCGAGACCACACAGGACAGAACTGAAAACAAATGTGCTGTTTATTCTCCCACAACGAAAGGGCGTGGGGAGGAAAGTCCCTCACAGCAGTAAAAGGATACAAGGTCGGTATTCACGTTTTATTTGAAGACTGGATCCCACATAGCCCAGGCTGGTCTTGAACTCTTTACATAGCCAAGGTTGGCCTCGAATGTCTACTTCTCTGCCTCTACTTCACAAGTACTGAGATTATCTGTAGATGCTGCCGTACTTGTTAAAAAAGGTTTTCTCTACCTCCTGGAGTTCACTCTATAGGCAAGGCTGGCCTTGAACTCGGAATCCTCCTGCCTCTGCCTCCTGAGTGCTGGGATTAAAAGTGGATGCCACCATGCTTGCTTTTCATTTTGAAATTTAGAGGCCATTACATTTTTTTTTCGTCTTCTCAATTTCTTTCATAAGTACCAGGCTGATTAAGGTAAGGACACACATAAAACTAAACTGTGGTTTCAGATAAAACACAGCAAACTTCCAAGCAAGTCAACATTTAGTAATCACACCTTGACTCCAAGGAAATATACCTTAAAAACTTACTAAATCATTGATTACCTGGTAAGTGGGTTTAGTCATTATTTACCAGATGTAATTGGTTCATTTTTGTCGGTTTTATTTATTTTTTGTGGTGCTGGAGATGGACGTGGTAGCCTCGTGTGTGCTAGGCAAATGTTCCAGTATCAATCCACACACACCCCAGTCTAGCAGTCTCGCCTTTCTAAAAAAATTACTTATGTATTTATTTGTGTATGAGCATTTTGTCTACATGTTGTGTACCATGTGCAGGCATTGCCCATAGAGTCCAGAAGAGGGCATTAGTTCCAGGCAGTTGTGAGCTACCGTGTGTGCTGAGAACCTTCCTGACATAGTCTTCAGAAACAGGAAGCCTTGGAAGGGAAGAAGAGAAGACAGTGGTCCAGCCGGGCTGCTGTTCTGTGCAGGGAAGCCAGCCGGCTTCGGTTCCTGACCCAGAGTGGGAAAATGGATGGACCTTTCTTCAGATCTCTCTGACATCAGGAGGCCAGCTACCTACATGTGAAGCCAGGCACAGCAGTGCACACCACAAATGTCAGCCCTTTGGAGGCTGAGGCTGAAAAATGGAGTTCAAGATCCACCTGGGCTACACTGTGATTTGGGGTTAGCCTGGGCTACGTTGTAAGACCCTGTTACAGGGAAAAAAACAAACTAAAAATAACAACCACCACCCCCAAACAAATAAACAGTGCCCCCCCCCAAACATCAGAGGGATGCTGCCTTTGCTGAGCTGTGGAGGAAACTGGGGGTATCTGTTTGCTTCCTGTAATCCCTCAGACGCAGAAAACTGAAACACATGCTGATTCCCACGGTCCCTGGACTACGGAGCTGGGCAAGGGAGACGGAGAGGAAGCTGGGGTCTGGACTTACCTATGGATCAGGGAGTGTTCGTGGAGGTAGGCCAGCCCCTGCAAGGCACCATGGGTGATAGCAGCAATCTCCACTTCCTGAAGTGGTTTCTTATGAACTGAGGAGACAGGAGAGATGGTCAGGATGGAGGACCAGCCTTCTACATCAGATAACACACTTTATCAAAGGGCAGCTTGAGAGCATATTCACCTAAGCACGTGAAAGCTGTATCCTCCATACAGTAGTAGACGAGGAAAGCCAAGTGCATAGAAACGAGACCAACACGACAAAACCCATAGGCCTTTGGCATAATTTTACTGGTCAACGGTGAGACAAAGCTATCCCGATTCCAAGTCAGTTGGCCTGGGTTTATCAGTGCCCTCGACAGTGATCTAGGCCACGGTGTTCTCTACTGCAAAGCTTTCATAATTACCCCTTACCTACAGGTAGAGAGGCTATGAAGCAGCTTCTACTGAGGGACTGTGGGTGGCTTCAGGCATTTTTAAATGGAATTTTAAACATAGCTGGGGGCCGTAGTACACTGGTAAGGGGGGACGGGGTCCATCATGACACCTTACATGGGTAGATATCAACGTGAATTGACAAGACACATGTGTACACACACACATGCATGTACACACACATGCATGTACACACACACACACACAGAGTCTCATACACATGGTCCATTGTGACACTGGCAAAGGGTAGATAGCAACATTTGTACATGGCTTTGATGGTTTTTGGCTACAGGTACCATACCATATTAACCAAAAATTTCAGAAATGCCTATCCTGGATAGCCATGGCCTCAACAGTAGTATAGCTGATGTCATCCAGACAAGTCAACTACATGGCAGATTATGTCTGCACAGCTTACCATGTGGCCCTTAACCATCTTTCGACCAGAGGTCCAAACTGTACTTTGTCTATTTTTCTAGAAGTAGATAACCTCCTTTTAAAAATAAGATTTTATTTCAGTGTGTGTGTGTGTGTGTGTGTGTGTGTGTGTGAGAGAGAGAGAGAGAGAGAGAGAGAGAGAGTGCAGGTGCCTGTAGAGGCCAGAAGAGGGTGTCAGGTCCCCAGGCTGGAGCTTCAGGCAGTTGGGAGCCACTTGGGAGCCAAACTCAGGTCCTCCCCAACAGCGGAGCGTTCTTACCGCTGAGCTGCCTCTTTAGCCCCACAGAGAACATGATGGAGGACAGACAGGAGAGGTACAGTGATGTTATCCTTACCTTCTAACAAGTCAGAGGCTGAACCTAAGCAGTACTCCATCACCAACTGAAACAGATTAAAAGATAATAAGAAAAGTTAATAAGAAGTTCCTCAAGTTAGCCAGTCAGCCAACCAACCAACTAGCCAGTCAACTAAACAATCAACAAATCAACCACAAAACCAACTAACAGTCAATCAACTAACCACAAAACCAACCAATTACACAACTAAGTACTCAACTCAAACAACCAAGCAAATAACCAATCAATCAAGCATACAACCAACAATCAACCAACCAATGAACCACACAACCAACTAACCACACAACTAACCAAGTATCCAAACAAGCAACTGAATAACTAATCAACCAAGCACACAACCAACCAACCATAGCACTAAGAACATCAGGAAGAAAACCATTTGGCCTGAACTAAATCTGTCTTATCTGGTCATTCGATAATGAATTAATTTTCATAATTTTGACATTTCAGTTCTTGTCATCTTTCACTTGGACTTGGCCTCAGACCATATGAGGGTTGATATAGAAATATTCACTGTAGATAGTCAAGTTGAGGTTGCCAATTCTGGCCTAACACCTTCTTCCTACAGTCTTGTTTCATAATAGGTTTTGAGTGGCTAGATGCTATTGATTATTACTTATTATAAGATAAAATTTGTAACTTAGAAAGTGTTGAGGACTACACAAGCCAGAAAAATCTGTTTGGGCTCAGGACTATGCACTTATATGGGATTGAATCTTCAGTATCAGTTAAATAGAAAACCCCCAGTTAGCAGGCCTCCTTGTCTACACTCTAAAGCTTGAAACAAGGAGCATGTCTTTGTAGGCTCAGTTAAAGAGGTGGCCTGCCATGTGCCGTTAACCTGAATCAGTCTAATGCCACTACTTTGAACAGCACCATCCGGAGATTTTAATTTGTATCTTAAAAATATTTATTCATTATTTAACCCCAGAACCCACATGAAAATATTCAGGCATAGCAATGTTCATTTGCAATCCGGCCAGATTAGACTACCAGAAGAAGTCTAGGCTAATGAGACACTCTGTCTCAAAAAACAAAGCAGTGAACACCCAAGGAATGCCATCTGAGGACGCTCCCCTCATACATGCATATCCCCAACAGTAAGAGTTTGTGTTCATGTTGCTGAACATTCTCAGCTAGGCAGTTTTAGAGGCTTTCTCAAAGCAAAAATGAGGAGACATTTCCGAGGCTGCCATCCCAGACCCTGTGTCCCAGACCACTGATTTATGGCCAAAGCCAAAGCCGTGAGTGTTTTCTGCCACACGTGTGACCACACGCTGTCAGCGATTTTGTTATTCTAAAAGGAAGCATGAATATCAACGGCTACGTGTGACCACCCAGACACAACCAGTGTCACCGCAGCGGTTTCTTTCATTATGAACATTCATATGAAGCATTAATATACTATATACCTCACAATACTCAAATAATATAGATTTTTACAGTCTGAGACACTTTATAATATTCTTCTTGGCACATAAAGACAAATTCAAACAGGGTGTGGTAGCTCACACTTCTAATTCTGGCACACAGGAGGCTAAGGCAGTAAGGTTGTCACAAGTTGGTCTGTGCCACATAAAACAGAACAAAACAAAACAAAACAAACAAAAAACAACCCCAAACTGAAAACCCAAATGAAGAAGAACAGAAAAACTATATATATATATATATATATATATATATATATATATATGTCCTTTATTTTGTAGCTGGCAAGATGGCTCAGTGGGTAAGGAACTTGTTGCCAAACCTGGAACACTGAGTTGATCCTCAGAAGCCACATGGAGGAAGGAGAGAACCGACTCATGAAAGTTGTCCTCTGACCACCACGTGTTCAGCATGTATGTGTGTTCATACAACAATAAACAGACTTTAAACATTTAACAACTATATTTTCTTCCTTACTGAGACATGAAAGATCCCACTGAAGTAAATATTTTCATGAATGTTAATTTTATATGTACCCTACTTCTTTTTAAGGTAATTTGGATGGAAAATTTACTAAACTGTATTACTTGATTTTCTAGTTTTTGAGGTAAGCAGCTAAATATGCACACTAAGCTTCCTTACACTGAAAATGTGAGAGGGGAGGACAGCTGATCCTCTGCCCCGTAAGCCCAATATAAGTTGAGGATATCTCAGAAATCCAACTACAGGACATGGGTCAGTGGCAGAGTGCTTGCCCTGCACATCCAACACCCTGGGTTCAGTTACCAGCACTAGCCACACAGCACAGAGACCCCACATCTGTGATACAGTGTAGATTAGACA